GGCTCTGGGAACTTGAAGAAGACTGCCATTGTGAAACTGTTCTCTCAAAGCATGTTAAGATTCTCCTTAAGAATGAATTGTCTTCAAAAAAGTCATTGCACACACAAACACACAGAGACTGACGGCACGCACAAGACCTGCACAAGGTCAAGCCATCCGAAACTCCCAGCATGGATGAAACTCAGGCTCACAAAGCCCCATCTGTATCTGAGGAGTTACTGGCAAGTGACAGCTGACTGAGGCAGAGACAGTTTTCTTCACTGATAAAGCCCCGAGAGGCTACCCTTGCCCCAATAGATGGTGCTATACCTACGCACACATAGGCAAAACTAAGTGAACTCTGTGGGTTTAAGAAAAGAGAGAAGACGAAGCTGAGAGAGAAAAGTGGTTAGGAATAAAGGGAGGAGCTGGAGGAAAGGGCATAGAGTGATCCGATCAAAACATATAATATGCATGCATAAAAATCTCAATGAAGAAACTATAAAAGAAAGAAGTGTCTTAAAACCATTAAAGTAAACCACTAATCTCTATTACTACTAAAAAAAGTACTGAAGTTGATTCATGTAACAAATTTGTATATACATATTTGCAGTATATTGTATGTCTAAAAATTTATTCTTACGGCTAGCCTACAAAAGCTAGTAAATAATTTAGCTTTGGAACAATAATATGCAAATGGCTTATAATTTTAACTAATGAAAGTAACTTTAGAAGCTGGAAAAGCTACTACTACTTTAGTAATTTGTTTATACTAAAACTAAATGACTTTTAATCAAAGAAAACCAAAATTTCACCAAAAACGTTTTAATTATAAATAAATGACTTTCAGATAGAAGAAGCATGTGAAGGAGAAAGGAGGATACAGCAGAAGATACAGGATCTAAAAACCAAATGATTCCATACTCAGTGGCTGAAAGCAAACAATGAAGTGCGATTGGGAAGAAGGCAGCAGCACGCTCTTCTGGAGAGGCGTTTGCCGGCACTCCTCACGGCTCCCACCTTGTTCTACTGCTGTCAGTCCAGACAGGAGACGACATTCTCACCAGCAGCTGCCGCACAGCCTTGCCTGCCCACAAAAGGCCAGTTCCCCAAGCATCTACAAGTTCACCTCTTACAGTAAGAATCACTGCAGCAGTACTGAAGATGTCGGCTCAGTGATGGAACAGACACACCAGTGTTTAAAAGTACAATTCAACTTAAATTTTCTTTTAATTTCCAGCCTACTTCTGAAATATGAAGTTATTCTATTTCTAGGTAGCCTAGAATTGTTAATTGTTAGTTAACTCTAGAAAGAATTGTTAACTAATATTTAGAGAAAGTATTTATTACTACCAATTTTTCCATGACCAAGACTAGCAGACGCCCTAAGCCATCACTGAGGGACTGGTGATCTACTCAATTTATAACATTATCTGCTAGAACACATGACACAGCAAATTGTCGCCACTCCACTAGAAAACCATCAAAACACTATATCAAATGTCGTGTTCATTTCTTTTCCACAGCTGAATGAGAGATGTTTCCTATGCAAAAGCAACCTAAAAAACACAAAATAAATAGATAACTAAATAAGCTCACCCCGTTATCCAGGCCAAAGGGCGAGATCAAACACGACATGTTACATACACCCCTAATTGACCTCATCAGAAGAGAACTGATATCCAAACAATTTACAAAACACATGTAATTAATTTCAAAGCAAAACTTTTCTGACAAAAGTAAAAGATACAGTAGAAACTAAAATTTAAAAATAGAGAAAAGTTTCAACATGAAGCTTTGAAAAGAAAATTTAAGTATACATAATTGCTTTTATTTTGTGCTTTTTTGTGTTTTAAACATACCCATCAATATAATCACTAAATGCTGTTACTGTGATGTACGAAAACTTGTCTTGCTATCTCTATTAATAATCTAAGAAACCCACTTCCTTTATTTCCTCTTCAGCTTTACATGATAAAATAAACTAAATAGGGCTGGAGAGATGGCTCAGAGGTTAAGAGCACTCACTGTCTGCTCTTCCAAAGGTCCTGAGTTCAATTCCCAGCAACCACATGGTGGCTCACAACCATCTATAGTGAGATCTGGTGCCCTCTTCTGGTATTGCAGGCACACATGCAAGTAAAATGCTGCTTAAATAATAAATAAATAAATCTTTAAAAAAATAATAAATATACTAAATAAATGCAAACTATGCAAATACTTTCTCACATTAAGAACTCCCTAGAAACGCAGCACATTATGGCCACTGCAACACTCCTTAGACTGCTTATTATGGTGGTCTATTGCAGAAAAACTTCTTCTACATATATCATCAAACTGTCAAGAAAAAGAAATGTAACCCAATATGACTCAAACAAAGTTTGCAAAAAAGCAAAGTCTAAGAGTGAGTTAGCAAAAGCAAACACTGTCTGAGTAACCAACTTTTTAAGTTCACAATAAAGTATGTATTTTTCGGAGTCATTTCTCCAGAATGAAATGACTTTCTTAAGTCACCCCCATCACTGAAACCTTTAACACTATATGACCTGCTGTAAAGGACCAAGTGCATGACTCCTTTTCCTCCAGACTCTGCTCTCACAATGGCCCTTCCCATCTCTATGCTACAATGTTGAGGCACTCGGTGCACCTCAGTGGAGTCGACCTTCCTGCTCACACTGTTCCGTCTACTCCTCTACATTCTCTACGCACAGTCTTCTCAGAAGAACACCTTGAAATTCATCCAAAAAATATTACTACACAGAAGATCTACCACAAACTAAAGATGCAAGTATTTGTAGTATTTATTTAGTACCTAAATGCCAAAAATAGTGTTTGCCTTCAAAGAACACACAGATCACAAAAAGAGGCCAACAGTTGGCAGATGGCCTTACAGTACACTGAGTATGCTACAAGCACAACAGGCTTGCCTCGCAAGTGAAGGGGACAGGGCGTGACAGAGAGGGACTCAGAACTAGGATAATAAGCAAAGGCTGACTTTTAAAATGACCTCTCATGGGAAATATGGAGTCTGACTGCATCCTAACACTAACAGTGAAACCCCAGTAACATGCTTCATCCTTGAGGTTCTGCCTCTCACACAGAAGACACACAGAAACAAATACTTTAACAAAAGAAATAAGACAAAGCACTACAATGACACAGCTGTGCCCCAAAGCATGTGAACACATCTCTATGGAAGCTGCTCTGTGCCAGGGCAGGAAAGGCAGCAGGAAACTATACATACAAGCAGGGTCAGCATCCACTCTTTGCGTCAAACCTGGAGCAACGTGGTACTCCTCCTCACTGCACAATACTGGAAAAACTCTGCCAACTGTACAGAAGCCACGGCGGGAGACAAAGATGCTGACCTAATACCAGCTGACTGGAGGCTGAATCCGTGATGTCTCTAATGTCACCACGGGGCTGCTCTGGGCCACTAACGCAACCTAATGCTGATCTGCGAACTCTAAGGCCAGGCAGAGACAATGACGCATCTGCTAGACAGCAGGGCCAACAGGGAAGACATAAAGCCCATTAGTGTACGACTGCTGAGCTTCAGAGTTTTGGCCACACCAGCAATATCCACTCACAAACTCACTCAGACAAAATTGAAAAAGTACTGAATGATGTAGAAAAGACTTCAAACTAAGCCATAAGAGATCTTCAAAGACATTATGGCATTTTTTTTTTTTAATCTGTAGAAAAACCAAAATGAGAAAAGCTAGTGGACATTTAAAAAAAGAACCAAGTTTAAATATAACAAATAAAACATTTGAAGTATTAAAACAAGACCCATTACAATAACACCTAACAAGTCCCATCCCACTACCACCTTCAATCTCACAAGATCTGACTCCTGCATGAAGACACTGAGGGCAGAAAATGAAACCAGAAGTTGCCTGTCCTCAGAAACTCCTGTAACAATGATGCTAACAGAACTATAGAACTACAAATACAAGTCTGGTCAATTTTCAAAAGCGTTTTATGTCAAAAAAAAAAAAAAAAACTTTGCTACTTTCATCTTATTTTTGATAACTGACGACCGTCTTCACTAGAGTGGGGTTTCTATGAAATAACCTCATACGAGTTCATGAATGGAGTTGAAACACTGCACGCAGCTCCTTCAAAGCCTGGGTCTGAGTGTCTCTAGCAACTCACCTTGTTTACTCAAAGTACGCCACTACAAACAACAACAACAACAAAAAAGACACAGTAGCTATTTTAAAATCCAAAGGTGACGTTCTGAAATAATCTTTAGTAGAAAGACTCAAACACTTCACTATAAAACTAACTAAAAAACATGGAAAAGGCCGCCTTGATTCATATTAAGGTAAACATAACCAATATAAAGAATATACAAAAAAGTGTAAACTAACATTCTAATAAGGAAATGCTCACACTATCCTAGTTTTCATTATCAGAAAGTCTGTACTTCCAATGGCCATTCAGGACCCCATTTAGAATAAACCCCAATTCTTTCTTCCCACTCTAAAGCAAGCAGTACGACAGTCAAATGCAGTTCTGCTCACAGCAGAAATGAACAAAAAAAAGACATATGCTTAAAATTGAAAAGATTAAAACTTTAATCAAACCTGCTAAGTCCGATACAAGTGTCTACCTGTGCCGTTAAAAGCACTCATATACATATACTGTTATGTGGTTTTACATAAATATATTAAGCCACGTTGCCAATGATGGAATTTTACACAGTAAGTCCTCTCTTAATTATGGTCAGCTACAATATTCCCTCTCATATTTTTAAAATCATCCCCCAGGAGAAAACACAGAGCCAACAGAAGCTCTTAAATGATAGATTTAGTGGGCTAATGTGCTAGCACCACATTCCCTATCACATCTAACTTCCTAGCATCAGCCAAGCATCAAAAGATGTCTCTCCTGGCCTTCCAAGAGACATGTGAACAGCACTAGGGAGAACGAAATTAGTCTTTCAGGAAGTGACATAATAGTAGCATGTTTCTTCTTTACAAGGCAGCAGAAATTAAGCCACGCAAGATACTTACTCATGACTGGAAAAGTCTCTGTGTATTGTCCCAATCCAGTATTAAGCCAAAATCTACTATCCAGGGTTTCTCAGAGGAATACATATCCTGTTCTAAAAAAAAAAGAAGAGAAAGAAATCAGATTTTCTAAAGGTCAATATTTAAAGTTTCCTGAGAAGAAATGAAAATAACTTTAATTCGTTTTTTTCTATCTCTAGAACCCCTAGTCATCCTCTTTTACATATAAAGACTACTACTAATCACCATCCAAATCACAGGTCCCTCTTTCTGAAACAAGCAACTTCAAGAATTAAAAAATATTTGAATGGTAATTGCCATACAGGAGTTTAGTATGTACAAGGCAACTGCCACACAGGAGCTTAGTGTGTACAAGGCAACTGCCATACAGGAGCTCAATATGTACAAGCAATTGCCAGATGTTACTATGCAGAGGGCAGCTGTGACATAAAGCTTAACTTAAGGCTTTAGTACTAAACGTATTCCTTCCCCATTCCCAACTAAGAAAGCCAAGAAAAAGAAGAGTGCTCTGCCCTGGATAAACACAGCAACTCATGTTGGTTAGATCTATTTAACCGTATACCAGTCATTTATATAAGTCTCAAATAATGACCACAAAAGTTATTGCTATCAACTTTCTTTAGTGATGCCATTTCTTCATTATAAAGCATGTTCATGTTTATCCAGTTATGTCCAGCACATATCTCCCCCCCCCACCCCAAAAGACAGGGTTTCTCTGTATAGCTCTGGCTGTCTTGGAACCCGCCCTGTAGTCTAGGATGACCTCAAGCTCATAGAGATCCACCTGCTGCTGACTCCCAAGTGCTGGCATGAAAAACATGTGCAGCCACTACCCAGCAGTACATATCCTTTCAGTACATACTAAGTATTTTAAAACTATATTTGGTAAATAAGTTGAAACTTTTAGATGTAGTTCTTTTCTCCCAAGTATAACGTAAGCATTGCTTTATATTAATATGGGTGTCAATATTAAAACACACTTGACCCTTGTTTAACATTTGTAGTCTAACCCTTCCTCTTTTGATTAACACATTTTTAGATGAGACAAAAGTACTAGAAGTTAACAAAAATGTGGATGTATAAATGCCTTCCTAGCTCTAATACATAATTTTACAGCTCTATAATTCAATACAAAATGCACACTTGCATAACCCTCTTCATAAACCAGTAAACTACATCCTACAATCGTGGAAAGCAACACTTAACTTTCTAAATCACTCAAGGAGACAGCAACGCTGTAAGGCCCTCAGCTATGAATCAAAGTTAGGATAACACTTTAAAGATTCAGTTCACTGTACCCATACATTGTATTTGGATTACGTAAGATGCAGGAGAAGCATGCCTTTACACAATGTAAAGATTGCATCAGCATGTGCAAGCACCACATGCTGCCTACACTGTAGTTAGCAGTGGTATATAATCATAGTTCTGCCATCCTGTCACCTGACCCCAGCCCACAGGCTTTCTTTCATCTGTGCATTAGCTGGTGATACCATTTCCAGATAACCCAATTAGTGTAGCAAATCTACTATCGAATAAAACCCCACTTTAGCTTCAGATACACGTTCATATTTTCTCACAATAAGTACACTTCTTGATGGTTCTGCATTAAGTTTATTGGGTTTGATTTCCCTTCTTGGAAATTAAGTGGCGGAACATGCTGAATGACAATAGGGAAAGGCAGGCAAATGTCACAAAAACACAAAGTTCATAGAGCCCCCAAGAGTCCACACACATTCACATTTGGAGCAACTACCCTTTGCCCAGGAGCTTATGTTTATATACATTTTAAATGTATTTTCTAAATGGTAATGTCAAAGTACCTTTTAGGATGTAATGCCTCCTTCCTGCCATACCATAAGATGCCAAATAAAACCTTAGTCTGGTATTTAAGATGTAAAGATTTTCTCAGCACTAAAAATACTAACTTTAAAAACATTAATATAGGGGCTAGAAGGATGGCTCAGCAGTTAAGAGAAACTGCTGTTTTTCCAGAGGAACCAAGTTCAGTTACCATGATCCATGTCAGGGAGTCACAGCTGTCCTTAACTCCAACTCCTGATGCCTCTGTCTAGCCACCTCAGCCACCTGCACTAATGTTGCACAAACCCACATGCAAACAAATATACTTACAGATAATTAACATAATATTTTTAAGTCAGGATAATAAAACTTACAAATACTGGATGTACAGACTTACCATATAAGGCAACAAATGCACACAAGTCTTACAGTTTACAAACATGCAAAGCATATATTAGAATTTAACGTATGGATCCATGGAGCGACTTTTTTTCCCAACATAATAATTTTATTGATTATTTGGGAATTTCACATAATGCACCCTGATCGCACTCACTTCCTAGTCCTCCCAGGTCCACCTCCCACACTTGTGACCTCTCCGAGCATGATCAAACCTCCAGTGGCCAGCCCATGGAACAACTCTTAGCAATGTGCTTAGGGATGGCACAGTGAGGTCACCTGATCAAGGTTCTTTGTGCGAATCACAGCTTCAAAGCAGAGGTCTGCTCTCCAGGCCTACTCCCATCTACCTTCAAAGCAAGCTTTTCTCAGTGACCGAGAGGCTCGGTTGCACTAGCACACAAGACAAAATATTCAGGCTTTCTTTCTCCTCACCTAGTTACCCTTCCCTAGAGAAGAGAAATGTATCTTAAATACACGATTTCTCATACTGGGTATTTGTAGTAGTTCTGCAAAATCCAGCATTTATCTTACTTTGTTGTTGTTTTGTTTTGTTTATTTTTCAGTTTTTCCAGACAGGGTTTCTCTGTGTAGCTCTGACTCACTCTGGAACTCACTTTGTAGACCAGTCTGGCCTTGAACTCAAGAGCTTTGCCTGCCTGTGCCTACAGGGAATTAAAGGTGTTCACCACCTGACCCAGCACTAATCTAGCTGCTCATGTATTGGGTGTGTCAAAATGTCTTCCTCCCCAGACTGGGGACTGGGGCAGAAATGACTACACCTAATTGGAGGCTGTAAGAGCGCCGTTTGCCTACAATGTCTTAGTCTGCACAGCAGCATTAGACATGTACACCCAAGAAGGCTGCTAGCCCCAAAATAACACAGAACTGAAGAGAGCCCACAGCTTATGACCAAACAAAGCCAAACTCAGTCAAACTCAGCCAAGGATGCAGATCTCTGAGCTAGACATGTCTGCTGTCAGCCAACGAAATTCTGTGGTAATTACATCATTACAGCCAAAGATGCCTAAGCCAGGGGATAGAGACACTGACTTCCAGGGACGGGGAGCAGTTACGAGCAAGTACTGCTTTTGCAGAAGACAGAAGCTTGATTCCCAAAACCCATGTCAGGAGGTAAACCTCCTGACACTCCAGATCCCAGGGGATCCAACACCTCTGGCCTCTGTGGGCCCAGTAGAGGTGGCACATGCCTTGAACCCCAGCACTCAAAAGGCAGAAGCAGAAGGATCTCTGAGTTCGAGGCCAGCCTGGTCTACAGAATGAGTTCCAAGACAGTCAGAGCTACACAGGAAAACCTTGTCTTGAAAAACAAGAACAAAAAGAAAAAAATAAAATAACTAAAGCTTCAAGTTAAAAAGACTGCATTCAAAATTCTAGGCACATACTAATTATAGGAAACAAATCTAAACAGGAAAAGCACATAGAGGCTAGAAATAAAGACACATAAGCAGAGTTGGCGAATACCGACTAATATAGAGAGATGTGGCTATGGAATCAATTCCATGTTTGTGTTAGGATGTAACTAGAAATGACTGTGGAGCTGCGGGCAAAGCTCAGCAGTAGAGCACCTACCTGCCAAACACAAGGTCCTGGGTTCAATTCCCAGCATCACACCAAAAAAAAAAAAAAGACAGAGAGAGAGAGAAAGAGAAATTTCCTAGCAATTTTGTCTCACTGTAAAAGAAAGAAGGCGGTCTTGCAAGAATGCTGTTTGTCGGAGCAAAAGAAACAAAAAACTAGTTCTACAGACGAATTAATTACATCATCTGCATTATGGAAGCAGTGAAATGAACCAAAAGTACGTGTATCAACAACAACAACAAAAAACTCAGAATTGTTGATACAATAATATCAAGGATACATGAAATCACTTGTATAATGTTCCAGAATACATAATGTTGACAATGCATTGTTTAGAGATGTTCACATATCTAAAAAGAAGGAAAAGAATATGAGGCTGATGCTTCCTCAGAACACACAGTTATTCAGGAGACTGGAACTGTTCTCCCACTAAAGGTGAGGGGTAAAACTGAATGGATGTCACTATGTTAGTCTTCATGCAATACAGAATGTCTTGTATGAATCCTGTATTGTACAGTATTCCAACGCAAAAGAAACAACTTCCCAAAAGTACAGAAAATTTAACAACAGCTAACATAAATATATGCAGCTATACATATAAAGGTGTTAAATGCAGTTATAACCTCTAAAGAGTAATTAAGAGACAGAAACAGTTGCAGTGAGTCACTCATTCCTTACAGGTAAAAGAGGAATACAAGTGATTGACGGCTCTACTACAAATCTGAGGGAGTTTTTTGTGAAGCTTTGTTTACCCAGGAAGACCTGATTAGACAGTATCCGCATACAGAACATCTGGCTACCCAAAGACCTGTATTTGTGTGTCTCACCACTGGAGCTCCCACCTCACCTTCACAGCTGTACAATCCCTCTCCAGTAGCTGGTTTTTCTCCTATATTTATGGTTGTGAGCCTAGCCTTTAATGGCTGAGCCATCTCTTGAGCCCCAGTAGCTGCTTTTTCGACATTACTATTTTTTTTAAAGTCATTCCTCTCTCCCCTCCCAAAAATGCTTACAAAAATTTCCTTCATCACTGCATTAATTATAACATCACAAAATTTTAAACTCAGGTGTCCAATAATAAACAACTGAAGGGACTGTTCATTATTCATAGAGTCTCTCACACTGCAATGGCCTTTACCCACCTTTATCACAGAATCATCAAGAAAGCAGTATCAAAAAGTAAGCTTCACCCAGCTAGCATCTGTTTTCTCAAAGGCTCACAAGCCAAGACTTGTGACTTCAGTTTTCAAACTTAAAACAGACGACATAA